GTACTACTCGTGCAAACTACATACTTTGTATTTAAGCCAATAATAGGAACCAAATGTTACCCTTTAGAAGCTTCAAACTTAAGAAACAATGTAAATTATAGTGTTTATACAAGAAGCTACCTTATTAGTTCTATTTATTTCTCACGGTCACTCACTTGAAGCTCACTAGCACAATTAGTGAACTTCAAGTTCGAAAAGTTTTACGAGCCAAGTCTTTCATAGAACAACAGCCTATACTACTAAAATAGCTGTGCCCGCGACATCCGCGTGGAAGAGTTATTTTAGGCGTAAAAATTTGTTTTTGCAAACCCCCTCATCTTTATAAACTATAGCTGTTACCCAAGACGATGTCCGCGTCTTCTCGTTCTTGCAAGTTAACCTTAAAAGATAGATATATAATGTCGCAGACTTTTAGATCATTTATAGAAGAATCATTCTTTCATACATATTTTTTGGTGTCTTAGACCGTTTTTGCATTACACTCAACGGAAGCTTTCACCCACGGAAGATTTACCACTGTTCCTACTATCGTATTGGTTGCAGCGTGATTATTGATAACCTTAGGCTTCGACAAATAGTCTATCCGACACAAAAATACATTTCCAACTCGAACCAGTAGTTCCTTAGATTAGCGCGTTCAAATAAACAAACTCTCCAGCTTTATAATATTAGTATAAAAGAGTGAGCTTCAAGTTCGAAATGGATTGCGAGGCGAGTTTTTTTTATATACAACAGCCTTCAATTAAATAGAATACTTGGTTAATATAGCTCGTCTAACATATGATGATACGTTTGACCGCCTATAAAATAGTTCATTTTTACAAATACCATTCAATTAGAGAAGAAAAGGTTTCGAAATGAGTGTATATGTATTTTAATTGACTGGTCAAGCGTAGGCGCAGAACTTTTCGTTTGTGAGAGCGACTCACACTTGGCAATTTATAGCTCACACTTAGGTTACTCTTTAGTTGAGTTACTACTACACGAAAAGTACTGTAGTACTGTGGGGACCCATGACCACCTCTGCTGCAAAGCATCTAATACGTTGGGCCGTAGGTAATAATAAAACGTGAATAAGTTAAGTAATACATTTAAATAAAACACTTTAACGGTTTAAAACGCGATATATTAGTTAAACTTATTTGAAAATGATGTCTCCCCGTGACCACGGCTGCTGCAAAGCATCCGAAACGTCGGGCCGAAGTTAAAAATCATTTTACGCGAGTAGTACACATTTGTGTCAACTATAGACAGTATTTAACTAATACATTTCACGTTTTAAACCGATAAAAGTGTTTTAAAATTTTCACTAATAATAATGTGAATAAGTTAACTATTACTTTATGTTATTATTTATTGTATATTTCGCGTTTTGAACCGTCAAAAATGTTTAATTTAAAACGATTAGTCATTTACTAATTATCATGACAGTAGTCAATAAATTTAACCCTTTCGGGCTTTAAATAATTAATATTATTGATAAATAGGTACTATATAGATACGATATTTAATATAAAGGTTATGCCTAATTTCGCTGCTAACACATTACCGTTTTATGCCCTGCTGTTACTAATACCAATTATGGTCTGCAATAAATACTGTTAGCAAATGTTAAGTATGTTTATTCCTAAAGTAATTGGTGCGAACACACTTATTAGTTTCGTCAGAATTATGAAACATAAAAAAGCTGTCAAAAACTTTTTATAGTGCGTGATATACCCCAGCCTATAGCATCTAAACAAGATGCGCTGGCGACCCATTTTGGCTTTGGATATTCGTAAATCCACAGACTAAAACTTAAACGCGATTAAGCTTCACGGCTTTTCATCTGTGGACGGTGGTTCGTGGCCCGGACATAATTTCTATATTCCTGCCACCCATTTAATATCGAGGTTTCCAGACGAAGTCCAGCATGTTTCAGAAAAATTTGAAACATGTTAGACATGGTGGGGATCGAATCCACGACCCGTTGATCATTAACCATGCTACAAGGCAAGGCAAGACTTGAACCGACATCCATAATGATCCGTGCTCTAACCAAATTAAGCAACAATCAAATTAGTTTTTATTTAAATTGTGATTTTAAAAACCAATTAATGTCTATTTTAACTATCTCATTGCGCTTGATGACATTAAGTATGTGAATTAAAAATCTATAATCTAGATCGAAAAATCTTTACGGCACGGCCGCGACTTGAACCGGCATATACACGGTTCTGTGCAGCTGCTCTAACCAAATTTTTTTTTTTAACGAATATAATAAATAGTGACTAAGAGAATTGTGTTTTTATATAATGTAAGAACCTAAGCGCTAAATATTGATTATGCTCTGTTTTTTTTTACAATTAGCGAAAGTTTAATTTGATAGTATAGCTCCTGGCATAATAAGTTTACATAATAAACGAAAATTATATTTAAAGTACTGTCTGCTTAAATTGTGTTTAATAAGTTACTTTTTAATGAACAGTCGAATATACATTGAAATAAATTTTGACTCGGGCAGAACTTGAACCGGCATCTAGGGCGTTTCGTGCTGTTTCGATTTATAATCGATATATTTTTAGTGTATATAGTGAAAAATAAAATAGTTATTAAGTCAAACTTTAAAAACATACTTAGTATTGTATAAACTTATTATAGCTGTAGTGTTACCCTTATTATTATCATGTATTATTGTAAATCTCCATTTTCAAGGTTGCCTGGAAGAAATCGCTTGTTAGCCATAAGACCGCCTTTTCTCGCTACTTTTTGTGAATTTTTAATTAAGTTTATTTTGTAACATTGTGGTGAAAATAAAGTATTTTTTGTGTTATTGTTTGTTTGTTTGTTAATAATCTCTTTGTCTAACCAATATTAATATAACTTACGTCGCGTGCCGCTTACTAGCAGCTAATGAAAATAATTAGTGTATCGTCAAAATCGATCGGAAAATTGTGCAAGATACTCACACAGTGAAATGAAGATTCACCTACAGTCAAAGGTTAGGTCCGTGAGCGCTTTAAGTAACTAAGGTGAACGAATTTCGAGATATAAATATAGCACGGTACTGACGAACGGTACATTCAAAGTTTGTCCTCACTTCTAGCAACTATGAAGCTGGTAAATATTTATTTATACCCTTGAGGTCATAACATAAAATATTATAGGGCTTATGCAAACAGTATTACTGTGTTTGTAGTTTACGCAAACGAAACGCCGAACTATTTAAGTAAATTTGCTTTCGACGATCCGATGTTTCAACAGACGTCGTTAATCGGGCACCAGGACATAACATAATTGCTAATAAAACCGTTAAATTCGTTTTAGCGACAACAGCATAGCAATATGTCTATTAAATATTGTCTGTAGTCCGCATTTAAATAAAACATTTTTAACGGTTTAAAGCGCGAAATATATTAATTAACTTATTGTAAATTTAACCTTAGATATATATTTTTCTATATGTTTGTTTTGTATTTTTAATAATGTTTCAAGTGTAAGTTGTTCATAACCGATTCTTTTTCAGCTAATTCTACTAGGACTAATAGCTTCAGGCTATGGGGATAAATTGGATAGGACATATCTACCACCCCCAAATGCAGGGTCTGCCGGTGGAAGCCCCGGTGCAATTACTGCTCCAGGTTCACAGTTCGGTCCCGCTGGATTGGCCGGTCCACATGTTAATGGACAACAGTCTTTTGGACCAGCCATAGGTCAAAACCAGATCGGACAACAGGCTACACAACCTACTGGCCCTGTTTCCTCATTTTCGGGGGCAGATTCGAGACAACCTAGCTCATTGTATGGTCCAGCTAATAGACCTAATCAACCTAATGCTGGCTTCAACTCTCCTTCCGAAACTGGTTCTAATTTTGGATCGAATTATCCCTCTAACTTCGAGGCGCCTTCCAGTAGTTTCAATCAACAAGGACAAGCCATCAACAGTCCGACATTTAATAACGGAAACGGACAAGCTCCATCAAGATTTTCCCCGCAAAATCAACCCGAGCGTCCTCAAGCTGGTGCCGACAGAAATGCTGAAATTCTAAAATATATAAATGAAAACGACGGAGATCGATTCACTTACAGTTTTGAAACTTCCAACGGTATATCAGCTGAAGAAGCCGGGGTAGCTGCTGATGGAGTTAGAGCTCAAGGTGGTTATTCCTATACTGGCGATGATGGAAAAGAATATTCAGTTACGTATACTGCTGATGAACAGGGTTTTCAGCCACAAGGAGAGCATTTACCAACACCCCATCCAATTCCTGAAGAAATATTGAAGTCTATCGAGAAGAATGCACAAGCGGCGGTAGCTGGAACACAAGAAGGTAAATAATTATTTGATTAATTATCATAATAACATCATATTCGCTTAATAGGCAAAATATTTTGTTTTATCATAAGCAATACATAACTTTGTTACAGAGTAGAAAAAAATTATTCCAAATAATTAATCTCATATGGGTTTATATACTTGCTTATCTAATCGTTTTAAAAGTAATATGTCAAATATAATGTAGGTACACAACTAATTTAAGCTTAAAAAATACGAATAAAAAAATAATCCTTATTAAAACATTTAAATAAAACACTTTAACGGTTTAAAACGCGATATATTAGATTATTACATTTATTTTACACTTATTTGAAAATGATTTTTAACTTTGGCCCGACGTTTTGGATGCTTTGTAGCAGCCGTGGTCACGGGGAGACAGTAATATATCGCGTTCTAAACCGTTAAAGTGTTTTATTTAAATGTGTACTACTAGCGTAAACTATAGACAGTATCTTATTAAAACATATTTTTAACATTTCAGGCGCGTACCGACCGGAAGAGTACGAATCTGGTGATAATCCTGAAGGATACAACTATAATGCCAACAAACCTCAGGCGCAAGGACAAGCGCCAACTCAACAATATAGCTCCGTACCGAATAGGCCTATACCTGACAACTCTGGATTTCAAAGTACTAAACCTTTTGGTCAAAGCAGTCAGACATTTTCCAATTCTTTAGATCAACCCCAAAACAAGCCTTCAAGTTTCTTTGGTTCATTTGAACCTTCAACCCAAGGTTTAGGTCAAGGTAATCAAGATAGGATAGGACAAGGATTTGGATCTAACAATCAAAATCAGTCTCCAAGACAACCCGGCTATGACTACAATCGCCCCCAAGCTACACAGTATAACACTGGTTCAAGGCCTTTTAGCCCGGATTCACAATCTCGCCCACAATCAACCTTCTCTAGCGGTCAGCAAACTTCAATCAACCCATTCAACAACCCTTCAAATTCACAATATACAAGTAGACCAAGCAATCAGCCACAACAAACCCAATTTGGTTCCACCGGATCCTTTAATCAAGGTTCAAACCAAGGATACCAATATCAACCTATAGGCTTGGTTCTAATGTCCCAAACACGCCACAAAGACCCGGATCTCAAGATTCAGGGGTTCTAGGAAGCCAAGTTGATAACAGACCAAATTCCCGCAATCCATTCTCAGCAAATCAGTATTCTAACCAGCCTATTTCCTCTACAACTGCTAACCAGCCTGGTGTTGGTCAGTTCAATAATATCAACAAACCTTCACGTCCTCAGTATCAAACAAATAATCAAGCCGCCGTTTCTGGTAACATTTCCCCTAACCGCGGACCAGCATCAGGTGTAGGACCAATTCAGGCGCCTTATCAGTATGATAGACCATCTCAATCATTTGGCGCTAAAGAACAGAACTCACAAACAGGCTTCAACAGGCCATCAAGTCAAGGGCAGTACCAGTCAAATTACAACCGACCAGCTCAAGGTCTGCAGTCAAGTTTTAACCGTCCAAGCCAACTTTTAGGATCGCGACCTCTCACTCAAGGAGCACAATCACTTAACCAACAAAATTACAACGGTCCTTCTCAAGGATCTCAGCCAACTCTTTATCGAGCTCCGGTGAAAGGAACACAAACTAACCGTCCATCAAGCCAGGGTTCGTTCCAAGGGAATCAGTCCAGGGATCCATCGCAACCTGGTTTTAGCAATCAGGAACAATTCAGTGGACCTCGTCAACCACCAAGCTTCAACGCTCAAGAGGGTTATAAATATTAGAATACATTATTGATATTATAAACTAATAGAGGCAATAAAAGGCATATGGATTGTGTACATACGTTTAAAGTTTATTGTTTAATATCACTGTGCGATTAAGACAATAAATTAATTTAAATATATTGATTAATTTGAAATTCTGATCTTTAATCTACCCTCACGTACCTGATAAAGCAGATAAGTAACTTACACAAACTGCTGTCCCATTTCCTCCCTCGGGCCATGGTGGAAACATATTCCACCATGTTGGAGTCCGTTTTGCTGATCGGATTTTATTTACAAACAAGTACAGACTTCTGTGCCCTGCCCGACCGTAACAATCTATTGTTTTTCAGGGAATCGAACATATAACCTCTCTCGCTAGGCAAAATAGAGACGTATATAGCTAAATAGTTAAACCCATTTAGTAACAGACACGGTTAGAGGTTAGTAATTTACATCACATTGTACAAATATATAAATATATAGATTACAACCTTTTTAACTGTTTAAAACGCGAACTGCATTACTTTTCAACTGTCAACTACAACCGGATGCTTTAAAGCAGTACCAAACACCTATTAAATACTTAAAGAGATTTGTCTTTCATATAAATAAATTAAACAGTCAAATAAGGTTGCGTAATAAATAACAAAGCATACAACGATTCCGAAAATATTTAATCTAAAAAATCTTTTGGTTTATTATAAAATAAGTATTGAAATTATAATTAAGGGTTTGCAAAAGTACGCAGGGTTAGAGGCAAAAAAGTATCAACAAAAAAAACTTTTAAGTTGAACAGTTTTATTTTTTGCACAAAAAAACATAAATAAGATCATCGTGTTTTACTAGTAGCTTTTTAAAACCCGATATATTAGGGGGTTAAAAATATTTGAAAATGATTTTGTAACTTCGGCCCTTGACGTTTCGGATGCTTTACATCAGCACGTTAACGGTTTTAGTTATATATTAGTTGTGCTTACTTGAAAATTATTTTAACTAAATGACATAATCGTTCGGATGTTGTACTAGTAGCCGTTTCACTTGAGACCCATCATGCGGTGTTAAGGATAAAGTATTTAATTTACCATTTTGTAACTGCGCCATCTATGGACTTATTATCTTTGTGATTTTAATATATTGTATTGTCATCAAAAATATATGTGTGTACCAAATTTCAGATCAATCGGACAATGGGAAAGTGCTTAAATTTCAATTCTCAACTTGCCCTAATAAATAAATTCCGTACGGGTCAAGCTAAATAAAACTGTTAAAAAATGGACTATACATTGAAATCTTTTAATTTAAAAATATCTAATAAACGTTATAAATACGTCATAACTATTATATTTATTATTGTTACGCCAACAGCATTTGCTCAATAACATGTTATATTTTAATATTCAACTTTAATCCTATCATTTATAACACGCAACGATAAGTGTAATTGTACCATAATGTGCTAAATTGAGCAAGTTACACCAGTGTTGAGGTTACTGAGAAAATATTTCTCAGAGCATAATACGCAAGAAAACAATACATATACTTACACATACATACATTTAAAATGATCAACTCTAAATGAAAAACTTCATTAAATACTATGTGTTACATGCTTTGTATAAAACATTTTTACGAAGAAGATGTGAAGTAATTTTAATTGGAAACAAAATCTACACTAATAGGTATATGAAGCTGAAGAGTTTGTTTGTTTGAACCCACTTATCTCAGGAACTATGGGTTTGAATTAAAACATTATTTGTGTTGGTCAGAGCATTTATCAAGGAATGCTATAAAACATCGCACTGTGACTAATAGAAGCGAAGATGCAGTAGGAAATGTGAACAAAACGGGGGAAATTTTTCATCTCTGTGATACGTACCCTGCAAAAACGGTTCAAGATACCCAAAAAATATGTATGAAAAAATGATGTCTTTAAATGATCTAAAAAAGGTCGCAGCACTAATCTTGAAAGGTCTCTTCTTGCAAGAACAACGGGAAGGGACGCGCCGACGTCATGGGTCAAAACGAATTTGGATGCCCAATATAACGATTCTCGCGGACGAGGTCGCTGAGGAGCTGCAAAATCTTTCGGTTAGAAAACGTTTCGGATGCAGTCAGCGGATCTACGATTATTCAAACCCAATAGGGCATTTTGTTTAAATGTTACACTTTTGCCTGGGGTATTTCCATCCAATCCATGCTTCTCAGACCGCAATATAAAAAAGTACTATATTCTCTTGTAACTAATTGTCTAACTGATTGTCAGTAATATTAATAATAAAACAAAATTTGTTGTTTCGGTCGGACAGGGCACAGAAGTTCGACCAATTACGTACCTGTAACTAAATACGAACAGTGAAAGGGACACAGATATGTGTTCGCCCCTCGCCCCATAGAGGGAACTGGGATTTCATGTTTCACGTGATAAGTTTTATAAGACTCTATTTGTAGTAATTGTCTATTGCATATTACACAATTCATTTACGAAACGTCAAAATAAATTGTTTTAAAACGAAAAACTTCACGCCGGAACCTAACGATGGCTCGTTATAACCAAGTGCAATTTTGAATTCAATTACTTTAAAATTTTGTCTCGCGTTATGAACTAAGTTTGATGTTGTTTCGAAAATAACAATGGGATGTAATTATATAATTTATTGTAAGTCTGTAACTATGTGCTTTTATCCTGCCCATGATTTTGGTAATTTGTATCGTGGGGCACAATATTGTGTGTTCCCCATGTCTAAGTTAAACAAGATGTTATTGACGTATCTGTATTTTATGCGAGTAGTACATTTAAATGAAACAATTTTAACTGTTTAAAATACGAAATATCTTAGTCAAGTTTACCTGGAACACTGTTATAAAGCATCGGAAATAAGAATAATTAACAAATACATTTCGCGGTTTTAAACCGTTAAAAGATATTATTCTATCCATAGTTGTATTATTTTGTATTTATAGACAAATTAAATAAAATGTAAATATTACTTATAAAGTATAACTAAAATATTATTATATGCTGAAGCAGTTTTAGATAGCATGAACTTTTTTTATAAATATTTATTAGTGAAATACAAACTGGACCAACACGACTGGACCCAGTGACCACGGCTGCTGCAAAGCATCCGAAACGTCGGGCCGAAGTTATAAATAATTTCCAAATAAGTTTAACTAATATATCGCGTTTTAAACCGTTAAAGTGTTTTATTTAAATGTGTACTACTCGCGTAAACTATAGACATTATTTAAATATTTTTGTGTTGGTTAGAACAATTATCGAGGAAGGCTATAACACATCACGATGTGACTAATAGGAGCGAGGAAACAGCGGGATGTTGAAAAAAAGAGGGAAAACCATTCATCTTGGGTTGAGGTTGAGGGGTTCCGATCCATACTCTGCGAAAACGGTCCAAGATACCCAAACATATTTATGAAAGAATTGTTCCTCTTTAAAGAATCTAAAAGGTTGTCCGAAACACTATATGTCTATCTTTTAAGATTAACTTGCAAGAACGACGGGGCGCGTCCGATGTCGCATAGCAGTTAAAATTTATAAAGATGAAGAGGAGGCTTGTAAAAAGAAATTAGGATGTCCAAAATAACTATTCTACGCGAACAAAGTCACAGACACGGCTAATGAAGCAATAACATTGAATTGAATATATTGACTCATCTCAATACGGATTTGTGTTAACCTAAGTCTATCTGTTTGAAATATGAGCTTTTGCACATAACCGGCATCGTACCTTCATTTGTCATAAGGTCGTCACGAATCCAGCTCTACTCTTCGACATATTAACAAGCCCAGTCAAATCGAACAATCTATTATCTACATACTCTTAAAAATTCGTGGATCCTACTGACTATACGCTCGCTAAAAATCCACGAGCTGTCGATTCCTACCAGGTCCAACATGTTTGTAAATCAGTTTATCTATCCTGAAACGAGGCCATAGTTTAAGCGAATAGTACACATTTAAATAAAACACTTTTAACGGCTTAATTTTTTAAACTTATTTACCGTCGTTATTAGGTCTCCCCGTGGCTGGTGTAAAACATTCGAAATGCCGCGCGCCGGGCCATAGTTAAAACAAATCATAAATAATTTAAATAAAACACTTTAACGGTTTAAAACGCGATATATTAGTTTAAACTTATTTGAAAATGATTTTTAACTTCGGCCCGACGTTTCGGATGCTTTGCAGCAGCCGTGGTCACGGGGAGAAGTTTAACTAATATATCGCGTTTTAAACCGTTAAAGTGTTTTATTTAAATGTGTACTACTCGCGTAAACTATAGACAGTATTTAAATCATAAATAAGTTTTAATTCATAATTTAGTTTAATTTATTTCGCGTTTAAAATAATTACGTGCGTTGTGCGTTGCGGTAGAATGTATGTTTTAAATATGTATGTCAGATGTCTAGCTGTGTCAGCGACTCTGTCCAAGTAAAATAGTTAGTTTTGACAACCTCTATCTTCATAAATTATAAATGTTTAAATGGTCTATCCAAGCCAAAAATTCATTTATACGAACTGTATTAGATTAGCGCGTTCAAACAAACAAGCTCTTTAGCTTTAAAATATTAGCATAAATATAATGTAGCTTAAAGCAAAATAAAAAATTGAAAATCGAATGTAATTTTAATTTTTGCAAAACAAGTAGTCACTGTTAATACCTTCATTTAAAACACGCTTCTAGATCATATCGCAGATAACGTCACCGATGAAGTTAAGTTCATCAACACGACTTAATGCATTCTTCCAGATCACGAGTGCATCTTTTAATTGCCAAAATAATTAAATAAAAGTCAAAATTATTGAGGTCAGAATCGGAATGTTTGCAAGGTCGCAATTAAGGTGTATGACCATAGAAATTGCGCTCGGGCTTCAACGGCACTATGCAATATTGTAGCAAGTACCAAATTGTCCGTTCTGTCTGAGGAAAATAATACTTTTTTCGGGAGACATGTCTTTAATCATTGTAAATAATATTTTACTTGGTTTCTGAAGTAGATGTTACATTTTAGTGTGATCAACAGTTTAAAAATTATTATTTTTGTTTAATCTCTTATTTAGTGTCCTTTCGTTCATAATTGCGCGTTGAATTGTGTATTTAAACTTAATTGATTTCTGTATAATTGGACTTACATTTTAAGATCTTTTAATAAGGAAGTGTTCCAGCGACTTTGTCCACAATACATATTTTTTTGGGGCATCCAAATTTGTTTATGACTTGACTTTTTGCTTAGATCTTTACGCCGAATCGGTCTCTCACCATTTTTGCAGCAATTATCCCAAATTTTTTCACATTTCCCGCTGTATCTTCACTTATTTAGTTATTTAGTCACAGGACAATGTTTTATAGCCTATAGCCTTCCTCGATAAATGCTCTAACCAACACAAAAAAAAATTTTCAATTCGAACGCGTAGTTCCTAAGATTAGCGCGCTCAAACAAACAAACTCTTCAGCTTTATATAAAGTATAGATGTTATAGAGAAAACCTATTGCAAAATTTTTATAGAATCGTACTTATTCATTATGAAATTTTAGTTTTAAGACATCACAGCACCTACTTTCACGTTTATTAGATTGACTAACTAACTCATTATTTTCATAGTATCAGTTTTTTCCGTATTGTCTACATAAAATGTAATGAATGCATAATATCGTCCAAAAGCGATGCCTCCGTCTTCACGTATTTAGATTACAAAACCGAGCCACGATTTAATAAAGAACATCGTATTAATATAGATCGATATGAACAAGCATTTACTATAAATAAGCACATGATTTTTTTCATACCACATTCGAGTTATTGGATTAGCAGTAGCAAGAACATCGCAATGAAATTGGTAACAAACATTACAATTTCTATAGACGATCATTTCAAATGTTACGATACTATCAATTAACCGCAATTGACTATTAGTGTACTTGACTATTAAACATCTTAATTTAACTTATCTAACTACGAATTAGAAATTATAGTAATGTTCTAAGAAATTATAGTATATTCTAAGTGCACTCCGCAGCGTTTGTTTCCAAATTGGTCTGTAATTGTAAAACGTAGTGAAAGTGAAGCGTAATTAAAAGTTTAAAGAATAAAGGCTTCCATCTTAGTTACGCTTCGCGTCTTCGAGTGGGGATGGCAGTATTTCATAACTACCGCCAATAAATTAGTGGTGATTACCGGGATTGACTGTCAATGTCTAAAGTCTCCAAAGCGTAGTGTGGTGATGACACTTCCAAACTAGCAATTATAGAAAAAATTTAAATACGGAACTAACAACTTGCTCGACCCATTTTTTAAGTACAGGAACTTTATAACCTGTAGTCAAGTACCCTAAGCCACTAGACTAGATCAACTACAAACTAAGGTAGAGTAAAAATAAAAACCAATTTATCCCAATTTTAACTTCACAGATAATTTTATTAGCTGTCGCCACCCTGTCCAGCGGTGCTAAGCTGGACAAGACGTATCTACCTCCATCGAATGCTCAAACAGCAGGTGGAGACAATTTCTTGGACGCTCCGCAGTACGAAACCCAAAATTACGGCGAACAGGACTACACACCTTCGTTTGATCAAGAGCACAATACTTACACTGACAGTGTGAATTATGAACAGAATTCATTTGTTGATGCCCGCCCAGAAAGAACTCAAGCAGCGTTTGAAAGAAATGCAGCTATCCTTAGACAAGAGAATGTAAACAATGGCGATTCATATTCTTTCGCGTATGAAACTGAAAATGGTATTACTGCTGAAGAGAATGGAGTCGCCACCAATGGTGTGGAAGCTCGTGGAAGCTTCTCTTACATTGGAGATGATGGAAAACAATATAGTATAAGGTATGTTGGTCAGATTGTTATGGTAATATTAAAATTGAAATAAAACGTTGGTTGTAAATAACTAATAAAAATGTGTGAGTATTGGTACCGTAACGTCCTACGTCATAATTAGTTTTCACTACCATAAGCTATCACTTTCAAAGAATACTATCCCTGTAGATTTATCCATAAAAGTTCAACTAACACAAAAATGTAAATATGACCTGCTCCATAAAAGTATTTATCTCGGTATTAATTTAAATAAAACACTTTTGACGGTTTAAAATACAAAATATATTAAATCAATACGACTCAACATTGCGGATTCTTTGCAGCAACCGTGGTGACGTGCAACTTAAGATGGAGGATGTCCCTAATGTCAGAGTAAATCTGATACTCCAGCGCTATTTTAAAATTTCACTTCACTATTTTCTAGATATATTGCTGATCAAAACGGCTTCCAACCACAAGGAGACCACTTGCCCACGCCACCACCTATTCCAGCTGAAATATTGAAAGCCCTGGAGCAGAACGCACGTGATGAAGCTGCTGGCATTTTTGACGATGGTGGGTATAATTCAGAAAATAAATCCCAATATGTTTTTTTCATATATATCTACAATAAGAAGATTAGTTAATATAAATAATCGGTGAATCCACACTACGACACTAGTCACCCACGACACACGGATTGTCCTAGTGTGGGGACTAGGGACTTTCTATCTGTACCATGTTTACGGAAACAGAGTAAAGAATTTTTGATTTTTTTATTTGTGTTAAACTATCCAGTACTTGCAGCTACAGTCTATTTTTTTATGTTCACAGGTTCTTACAGCGAAGCTAAATATGAAAACAATGACTACAGAGGTGAAAACGTTTACGCTAATAATGGAGAAAACAGGAATACGGCTTTCGTAAGTCAAAGCGACGATACGATTGTGACCGATTCAGCTGCTTTTAGAAATCCCACTTATTACGAAGATCTTTCAACGCCTGCGTTTGATAGCCAAGTGACCAAAGCATATCTACCACCAAGATACGATACCAGAAACCGATACTGATTTAGACTGATGCAAAACAAAGGAATTACGACTAATAAATTATAATTTAAAGAGACCTTAAGTAGTTTTATTGATTACGAAAAAGAGGTTACAAAGAGCTGCGTCAGCGACTTCGTTCGCGTAGAATAGATTTGGGTATCCAAATTTGTTTTTGCAAACCTCCTTTCCATTTTTATTAACCTAAGCTATCCCTACGACTAAGGTCGCGTCCCTTCCCTTCCCATGAAAGTTAAGGTTCATGAAGTTCATAAAATTTGTCTTAAAACATAGACATATATCATCGCGATCTTTTTTTTTAGGTAATCTAAAGAGAAGAAATTATTTTAAATGTTGACGGTTTAAACGTGATATATTAGTTAAACTTAGCCGTGGTCACGGCTGCTGCAAAGCATCCGAAACGTCGGGCCGAAGTTAAAAATCATTTTCAAATAAGTTTAACTAATATCGCGTTTTAAAGCGTTAAAGTGTTTTATTTAAATGTGTACTACTCGCGTAAACTATAGACAGTATATAGTAGTCATTCTGTTATACTTTTTTGGGTGTCTAGAACCGTTTTTACAGCGTACGCCTTGGAAAACCATAATGATAAATAATTTTCATTAAAATTTTTCATATTTCCCACTGTATCTTCGCTTGCCTTCCTCGATAAATGCTCTAACCAACACAAAGATATTTTACCCGTAGTTTCCAAGACTAGCACGTTCAAACAATCAAACAAACAGACACTCTTCGGCTTTATATATTAGTAGAGATAGATATAATTGAAATAACGTTACTTGATAAATATCATATTGATTAATGATATGGATAGAAGAGCACAAGCAAGCGTAGGGATCACTTGATGGAAGGTGGAAGAAATACCTCAACCATATAACACCTTAACAAAATATGCTGTCGACCTATTCTGGCTTGTGTTGAATAAAATCAAGTAATATAGGTCGCCAGTGCTTAAGGAAAAGCTTGGTATAAGGTTGGCAATCAAATGTATCCCCTAATTGTCAAATTATTATTACGTTACAAAATGTTGTGCCAAAAATCTGAATATTACAAGGATATAAGAATATCCATATTTCACCCGGGTTAAGAACCAGCGTCCACCGGTGGAAAGGCCATGAAGTGTAATTGCGTTTCGGTTAAGTTTGTATATTTCCGAATAATTAAAGCGATCGGTAGACATTGCACCTCGCTTCGATCTTAATAAACATCAGTTGACAATAGATAAAACAAATGACAGTTTTAGATTCTAGAAATTGTAGGTTAGCCTCTAACAATCCTAAATATATAGTCTGTAATCAAATTTGTGCGTCCACTCCATCGTTTTGTCCATTAAAAAAGTAATGTCTGGAGCTACAGATCCAAGGATTAGTACTTTAAAATCTCCCACTTTTATGATTTCAATTCCATTAAAAAACGCATGTACCTAGTACCCACCTCAAGTAATAAATAAAATTTCATATTCCACTTTTTTATCTTTAATATGCTTCTGTGGTAGCTATTTTCATGCTTGGAAGACATAATACCATAGTACACCAACAAAAGCTTAGAAAGATGTATACCGTTCTAGTTAAACAAAACGTCATAATTATGTCACAGAACTTCACAGTCGGAAAAAATGGCAGAAACAGAATTTAAAAAACAGTCTAGATGAGCAGTATTTCACATTCTTAACAAATTTTAAGTTAAAATGGTTTTTAAAAATTAATAATCTTTTTATTAGCACTAAGATATGTAAATAAATTACAACTAAAATTAATAAACTTACAAAGAGAGTTACAAGTGATAGTAAGGCTTAGCGCTGATTTTCAGTTTTTCCCCTTATTAGACAATAAGTAAACACTATCAAAAATGTAAACACTACTTTTTAAGCATTTACAAATATCCAAAACCAAATTAGGTCGATAAAGCACCTTGTTTAGTAATACCCCAGGTATTTCACTTTTTTCATAAAAAAATCATCTTCAAAATCCTCTGTTACAATAGCGTGTCCGTATCAACGTTAATTATATATCGATATAATTAACGTTGAGATGGACGCGAAATCGAGTATCGACTCGATTTCAAAACATGCCTTAAGACATGTCAAAGATCAGTCCAAAATATAATGATCAGAGACAATACTGATTGTACATTGAGATATCGTGTTTGGAGTGACCTCAATTATAAGTAAATGCCCCGTTTGGTAAATGATGGGCCCAGTGGTCCTCGCTTTAGATACAAGAGGTCATCTATGCTTGATTGATGATATTAATTAGAAAAATGGAAGGGCTTTTTGAGAGGCCTTGGCTTAGAATACTGTAACGTGGAGGAGAGTTGGAAGAGCTGGACGAACGCTCATCCGGATGAAGGAGGAATAAACTTACGATAGTAATACTTATGGTGATACCGTTTTTAATGTTGTATATATAAATATATATTTACATATATTTAGTAATATTAAAAAATGTAATGTTTGCCGCTGTATCTGGTTAAACACGTTACCATACGATATGGTCAAAGGTCTTACGTCGTTCGTGGCATATAATGGCCTTCAATACTAATTTGCCTGAAGTATATTTTGCCTACAGTTCTCGTAAAAGTTCTCGTAGTACATATTCAATTATAAATATGATAATCGATATCTACTAAAATTTCTTACTGAGGCAATGACACATTATGAGTACTTGAACAAAATACAAAGTAAGGAAAAACTTCAAGACGTTTGAAACGCGGAATTATTGTATTAAATTATCAAATACAACCCATCGTTTCAGATGATCGTATCTTTCGCGTTTAAAACGGTTAATTTTTTTTATTTAATATGTACCACCCGCCTAATTTACAGACGATATCCTTATAACTGTTACTGAAAGATTTTAACGGTATCTTTAAGCAGTTGCGCTTAAATAAGACAAATAATTAATTGAATTAGTAACTTATCCCTCATTAAAGAATCTAAAAAGCAATATGTCAAGGTACTATTATTTCACGACTACGACAATGCATTGACGAAATGCAAACATCATCTTCGCGTTATATGACAGCAACGATTAGACTTTTGTCACGCTGTCCGTTCGTCACGTCCAGTTCATATCAATTAGATAATAAAGATAGTATAAATATCAATTCGGGATGACTTAAGGCACACACAACATCTGTCATCTGATACTCATACATCGAAGATGAAGATTCTCTTGGTGCGTTTAATTTTAAAATATTTGGGACTAAATACTGTCTGTGGGTTACAAGCAAGTAGGACACATTTAAATAAAAAAAAAACCTCTGGATTGGATTTGGAAAACCCAGAGACACCGTCTATAGTCTGCAAAGACCCGCCCATTTTCGCCAAATTCCAACTAATACTGGCGCTAGCAGTTTCTTTACTTTGACATCAGAGATTCCCTCCATCTTTAGTCTTCCCGTGACCACGGCTGCTGCAAGGCATACAATAATTTCCAAATAAGTTTAACTAATATATATCGCGTTTTAAACCGTTAAAATGTTCAATTTAAATGTGTACTACTCGCGTAAACTATAGACAGGTTTTATATAATAAAACTAACGTGTAAACAATATCTAAAATGTCATGTTTCTAACTAGGGCTTAATACAGAAATATATCTAAATATTTTTTTTATTATGTATCTTTCCTTTTTCAGGTGCTGTTAGTTGTAGATCTAACTACAGGAAATCTACTCAATCGAGAATATCTACCGCCTCCAGGTGCTCATTTGTCGGGTGGGATTCTAAATCATAACGACCTACCCCTTGAACTGCCGAAGGAACAAATTCTGTTAACAGATGTTTTAGATAATCTAAAAACTTTTCCCGAAGATGAAGTCACTAAAATTGGTAGCAATGTTGACGCAAAGGCTACTAATGTACCAGGAATTTATGATGTATATTACAATACCCCACCAATGTATTCAACAACAACTTTGTCTCCACATATGGAGTTATATTCAACTGTACCTTTACAAACTTCGACAGGTATAAGTGGCAAGACTGATTTCGTTATTAAAGTGACCGAACCAGATTTCAAAACTACTCAATATGATGACTTCGTGAGACATAACGTCCCGTTTACAAGTCAATTTTCAACCTTAAACATGAATGACGGAAATACTGAAAATCTGCCCAATACTGAACTAGCTTCAACGAGTTCTCCAACTACTGTGACGTCAAGTTTGGTGACCAATGGAGATTATGAAACTACGACTTATAACATGCCTGAACAAAATCCTTCAACATTGTTTCCTGAAAGAAAGCAATCATTCTACGATAGGACCGCTATAACTTCAAATCAAAACAATGTACTTGCACCAGATGATTTCTCCTATAGCTTTGATACTTCAAATGGTCTCCACTCTTATGTCAGTGGAACGGCTAATAATGGTGTGAAAACCAAGGGAACTTATTCTTATGTAGGTGACGACGGTAAATTGTACAAGATGGAATACACTGCCGACGAAAATGGATTTCAACCACGTGGTGACCACATACCAACATCGCCTCCGATACCTAAAGAAATTCAAAATGTTATCGAACAAGCTTACAAAGACAAAGCTGCTGGAATATTTGACGATGGTAAGTTATTTTGTAAAACAGTACATTAAAGAAAAACTATTTTAAATGTAAAAAATCTATCAAATTTTCACAACTTTCATTATATTTCACAGGTTCTTACAGTGAAGAAAAGTACGGATACAAAAAGTATATGCCTCAGACAGGAAACACAAAAAAAATATCTTTTAGTCAAAGGCCGTATACTTCTTTAGGAAACAGTGATGATTTAAATAAGCAAGAACCCAAATATCACCGGATACCTAACAACTACATTACCACGAAATATGATAACCCAGACGATATTTCATCCACAGTGGGCGGTTCTGCAGACAATATTATTCCAGTTCAAATAATTTATGAAAAAGGGTATGAATACTCTCCACCACAAAATGGTTTTTATTTGATGCAAAACAGTAAACTAAAACCAACCAAAAATGATAAAAATATATTGGCACCAAAGGAAGAGCAATTAAGCCAAAATCCTGATTATAATCTTGCTAAGATAGTCCCTACTAGTGACCGCTTTGATTATAATCCGCCAGGACGTAATGTAAACGAATTATCAAAAGAGAGTTATTCTACAAATGATGGTTTTGAAAATAACCCCGGAATTTTAAATACTGGCAATACTTATTACAGCGAAAATGAAGGTACAGATTATACAAGACCTATTTCTACACACATAGATTCTAGCACTCCTGACGAAAATCTTAGGGAAACATTTTCTCCTTCAGCTACTGAGACACCTTATTTATTAGGTATAAATAGTGCTATGGATAATGGCGATAGTAATTACACACTAGAAAATAATAATGCTTCAGAATTGCCGATCTTAGAAAATTCTGGTACAACATATAGAGAAGATTTTTCTGGTCCAAAACAACGCCCTAGGTATGATCCAAGTGGTGGGTACTATTATTAAATTATGAATTACGTAATTGTTACTGTTTATTTTGAATAATTAAATTTAAAAATATACTATAGCTGTTTTGATTATGCCATCTTTGTGTTTCTAGCATTTAACTGTGTTGAATAAAAACGAAAAGAAAATCGCTACGCTTTATAAATAGATGTAAAAGCTTTAGACCATTAAGCACACTTTTATGTAATAGTTTTTATTTGTAAAAACGCCACCTAGCGATATTATCTGTAACTATTACAACACCAATTTCATTAGTCGATCGATACTCGTCGATAGCTTTTCAACGAAGCTTTTGGATTGTAGCACTCGTAATCGTTAGTTGTAATAAAAGTGATTCGAATTTTCAGTCAAAAGATGGCAGTGTTCAGTTAACATTAAATTTTCCTTCAATTCAGTATTCTGATGTTGAATATTAATAAATTCAATTGTTTTATCTCTGATCGGGTTTTTAAAGATTTAACTTTGATCTAGTTGTAGCAATATATGGTTATCGTTGGTTCGATTATCGACAACATGTTTCACAAAATCTATATCAAACTAGGTCTAAAGCGCGTTGTGTTAAGATTTTATATGACTTAAGTATCTTCCTTTAAATGAATATCAGGCTTGTCTGTCGTGCTTTAAAAAAAGTTAGCGAAGAATACAAATTGGGTTATACACGTAACCGTAGGACGACCAACTGTACAGACCGTGAGAAAAAGGCGGTATCAAATAATTAAGGGTCTTTCAAACCGAAAGTGACAAACTTTTCCATGTACATATACATATAAAGGGCCATAAAAATTGTTTTATTTGAGTGTGTATTATTCGCGTTACTTATTAAATTTACAATACCTTTTAAATGTGCAAAAGATCTCATGTACGCTTTTACAATATACATGCTGCTAAACTTATCACTTAAATTATTTACAAAATCATAAATCTATTATGTTCAAATTTTAAAAATTAATTTTTCTTATTACGTAAATAGCGCAAAAGTTTAATTCTTTTGTAACTAGCCTTCTTGATAAATGTTCTAACTTCTAATTAACACAAAAATAATTTTTCAATTCGAACCAGTAGTTTCTGAGATTAACGCGTTCAAACAAACAAACAAACTCTTCATTTTATAGGTTGTCATTCCTTTGAGTATCTGTACTCGTAGTCTGTTGTTTTTTTTAAATTTTAATAACAATTACTCTGCCCAAACAACTAAGCTCCTCAGAACTTGCCAAACCGATTGCATATTAATTGGTTTCTGGAGTTTACGCGAGTATTACACATTTTAACGGCGTTTCGGATGCTTTGTAGCAGCCTTGGTCACGGACAATTCGCAATTAGAAAATAAGTTAACCGACGCATTTTAAACCGTTAAAAGTGTTTTATAAAAATAATATCTCTCTGTATGTAATGCCCTTTTTGATGAGTGCTAAATCTGATCGCCTTTGAGACACTATTATCTCCTTGCAGCCCTTTGTTCTCACATTTTATGGGATTTTCTAAATATCAAATATTTTGTACACAACTTGCAATTAACCTTTGCTTTGTTTGTATTCAACATTTTGTACAGCTTTCGTTAAGTTAGTAAGAAACAACTCTTTCTTTCCAAATATGCAAATCTAAAATAGGTCACAAAACGTAATAAAATTGTATTGTGTCGTGTTGTATCTCAAAAAAGTAATAAAAATTACATATATCTAGAAATTTCAAATAACACAATTTTAACGGTTTAAAGCGCGGAGTATATTAGTAAACTTGTTTACCCTATTTTTGGTTTCGTTTAGTTATACATATTTAAATACTAGTATATTATCTAAATTTGTACTACTCGCGTAAATTACAATATTAAAAATGTTTTAATTGGTTTCACATGTTATTGCAGAAGGTGGCGCTATACTAAAATAGATTTTAGATGAAAACATTTAACGACACGGAAACTTGAACCGCAATCCACAGCGTTCTGTGCTGTTGCTCTAACCAATAAATCTACCGTCTCCAGACGTCATTGTCGATTTTTTTCAATTTGCCTTCAATGTCAGCAGATGCGTAAAACTGAATTTACGTTATAAATGACTCATGTTTAATCTGTGGCATCGAGTTCGAATTCCTTAAGCCCAAGTAAGCTTTAAGGTCAACAATCGTGTCGAGATGTTACTAATGTTACTATTTCGATAACAATGCACTTATTACACAATATAAAATAGCCTTGGTATTTCCTTAAATAAATTTTAACATTTATTACGGTTAAAATCGACTATACTTTATAGCCCTAGCTGCGGCTACGACTATGTTATGCAATAGTTATTTGTTTTTTGCATCACACCTCCCTTTTATAAACTTTATCGATTACCAACTACATCCGATGCGTCTATTGGTGGCCGCCTGATGTTTTATATTAGTATTTAGCTTTCCTCTTAGATTATAAAATAAAACGTCTGTGGGTGATGTAACTTAACAACAGACAGTTCTGACCTTTATAATATAGGCAAAGTGTTTCAACGCTTCCAAAAGTAGAGTAAAGATGTCTTCATTAATAAATCATGAGACTACTAGTTAGGCTAAATCGACTAGTTAATTACCTAGATTTTAAAAATGGGGGAGTTAATTACAGTATTGAAAGTAGGTGATGGTTATAGCCTGAAGTTATGAATATCTTATTTATAAAATACTGTTTGAATTTGACGTTTAAATAAAACCCTTTAACGGTTTCAAACGCGATATATATTAGTTAAACTTATTTGAAAATTATTTTAACTACGTGCAGACGGTTCGGATGCTTTGCAGCAGCCGTGGTCACGGGAGACAAAAGATGGAGGGTGTCTCTAAGGTCAAAGCAAGAAACTGCTACACTAGTGCCATCTGTTCCGACGAAGTTGGTCTTTTTCAACTGTGGACAATGGTTTGTGACCCGGATGGAATTTAAAAAATCTTTCCACCTCTTTAATGTCCCGAGTTCCCGACAAAGCCTAACACGTTTATAAATTGATTGACCCGGTGGGAATCGATCCCGCGACCTTTTGATTAATAGCCATACATTCATACCATTACAGTTACTAGCCCACCTAAGCTAGTTCCTCTGTTTATAATCCTTTTGAATAAATAAATAGTCTTTAATATTTGTAACATTAAATGATTAATAACAGATCTGAAGTAATATCCTTTAAAATCTTAAATAATTCACATAATATATGTAGGTAATTTAAATAAAACACTTTAACGGTTTAAAACGCGATATATTAGTAAAACTTATTAGAAAATGATTTATGACATCGGCCCGACCGCGTTTCGGATGCTTTGCAGCAGCCGTGGTCACGGGGAGACTGCACACGGGGGACACGGCTGCTGCAAAGCATCCGAAACGTCGGGTCAAAGTTAAAAATCATTTTCTAATAAGTTTTACTAATATATCGCGTTTTAAACCGTTAAAATGTTTTATTTAAATGTGTACTACTTGCGTGAAGTGACAGTGTGTAGGTAGTTTGTCAAAAATGATTTAGATAAAAGTTTTATGGAAACTGTTCGACTTATAAATAAGATTTGTATGTAAGTGTATTTACTTATTACCATTAGTCTTAAATAGCTCGGGGTCCCAGCTGTGGGAACAAATATCTAAAACCCTGGTCAAACGCTTGGTGACAGGTGACATAAATAAGATGGTTTTAGGATAAACGGTTATTCACAATCTTTTCTACCACTGGAAATTAAAAGTCCAACTTCACATAATACCATGGTATAGTTTTGCCTAGCCCAGGATTCAAACCCTCGACAGTGGGTCTCGTGATCCACTGTCGAGTTCACTAACCAGTGTTAGACCAACAAAGGTTATTTTTTTTCAAACGTTTGTTTAACGTAAAATACGAGAGTCAAAATAATTAAGATTATTTATTTAACTTTGCCCACGCGCACCCGTCCAAAATTAGACGCAACTTAACCTGCATTTTCGTGCTATTCAGAGTAAAGCCTGACGAAAGCTCGAAGAGGTCACTGGGCGATCGCATTGCTTTATATTTAAGTGTACAGTACATAGAAACAATACAGTGGAGATAATATATTACAGGCACACTAGAACCCCATAAAAAACTTGTATAGTCTGATGAAGTCTTATAAGTTATATTTTAGGTTTATTTCTGAAAAATAATTTAATTATTTAATATAATAAGTACCACTCGCGTAAACTTTACGTAAAAATTATAATTCCGTGTTCGCTTCAACCCAGTGTTTTATAAATATTGTCTCTGGCTGGCGAGTTGTACCTACACATTAAAATAAAACACCTTTAACGGTTTAAAACGCAAAAGATATTACTAATCATATTTATAATTTAATTTGACTACCCGACGTAACCATTTGTTCAAAACTGTTGAATATATTTTCGGTTTTTAGCCACTTAATGTGTTTTATTAAAACATTCGATTACAGACAAGTTGATCGGACTTCGGTGCCTTGACAGAACCGTTACGTTTTATCGTTTTCCGGATTCGAACTCGGGGTCTATCGCCTTTAACACAGACAGAGACGAAAAATTAACATTCAGTATTTATCATTCTAGGAGGTAATATTATTTTTAAAATTACGCGAAGTTCGTCAACTGTGGACTAAGTGGTAGTGTGGTATGTATAAGTTGCTACAGCATTGCATATTGCTAAGCAATTTGGATCTTATAATCGAAATGATACTTTTTGTTATTTTTCGTTTCTTTTTCCGTACAATGTACGATTGTAACAATGTTAGGTAGTTTCTTTAAATTCAAAACTATCGTATAGTGTGAATATAACACTTCTTAGTGTAAAAAATCACCTCTTTCTGTGGAATATAACACTTCTTAGTGTGAAAAAAGAAAAGCTCTTAGTGTAAAAAAATCACCTCTTTCTGTGGAATATAACACTCCTTAGTGTGAAAAAAGAAAAGATCTTAGTGTAAAAAAATCACCTCTTTCTGTGGAATATAACACTCCTTATTGTGAAAAAAGAAAAGCTCTTCGTGTGAAATATAATCCCCGTTAATGTAAAACATAATACCTC